ATTTCATCTCCGATGTTACAACATGGTGGCATGTCTCTACCTTTAAAACAACAGCTCGACAGCTGAGGTAATCTCCTGCACAACCTGAATGTCAGTGTAAGCAAATGAGCACATTTTCCCCAAGTAAACAACTGACTTACCTAAATTCAGTTAAGCTCATGTGTGATTCTCAATCAAATGAAATTGTACCTTTTGACCAATTGCCCCTCAAACCCGGAAAATTCTACAAAAAAGGTTACAAGCAAAATTATTATGGAATATTAACTGACTTTTCACAAATAGGTGCACAGTTTTTAAAACTCTTGGATGCCACGAGAGGTTACAAGAAACCTTGTGTGATGGATGTCAAGATCGGCAGACAAACCTGGGAGCCTGGAGCTCCCGTGGAAAAACAACTCAGGGAGGAGGTTGGTGAGAATAAACTGTGACAAAATTTAGGATACTATTGCGACAATTTCATCACAGGAAAAAATTCCATAACAGCATAAGCCATGCTATTAAAGATTAAAATTTTTTTAAATTACGTATGATAAGTTTGGATTATTGCAACTAAATGAAGTTCCCCAAAATATTGTTTGTACATGTTTATCAACAAGTTAAGAAATAAGCTAAACGGTGACATATGCACATACATAATATACTTCTTACCGTCAACGTCAACTGCTATTGTTGCCAAAGTGTTTTGCAATCAAATAAAAAAATTATGAAACTTGACAGTAGACTGTTTATCTAGTGTATTTGCCAATAATCCGTCCCACTAAAATCGATAATCATACCTAATCCCTACCAAAAAAATTTATTTTGTTTTATGAATTAGAACTTAATTGAAGCAAATCCGTCACTACGTAGATGCATTAAAGAAATTAAGTAAAAGAAGTATTTCTAATCAATACCTTAGTGACGACAATAAATAAGCCACATAATTAGATTCTCATGTTTAAAATACCTTACTGTTTTTTTTTTATTTTATAAAAATGCATACAAATTATCATTACGTAGAGGCTTTTGACTATTGGTATAGACCTATGCAAATTGGAATTTGCAGTTTTATATTATTTTATATTTTATTTAAATAAATTTAATCAATAACTCAACAAATTGATAATATTCAAAATTTAATATAATGTTTAATCTCTTTTAGTCAAAGTACAAGCTATGTAAACAACAGTGTGGATTTTGTATTCCTGGTTTTCAAGTTTATAACATCACAACAGGTACTTTTGAGAAGTACGGAAAGGATTATGGGAGACGGCTTCAAAGAGATGACATTGTATATGGTAAGTAAAACTTAAAAATGTATGATATTGTTTACAATAACTTTGTCAACCCATTTATAGTACTGAAACAGTCTCTGCTATGGTAATCTTGTACAAAAAAAGATAGGCATGCTTAAAAATATTTATATATTTAATTTAAAGTGAATTCAAATGGCTAGTGAGGATCTTAGCATCTTAGTGAGGAATAGAGCTTACCAAGCTTAAACAGAGTCCAGAGGCTAATTAATAGCATAAACAAAAAGAATTAAATATAGACCGTCAGCTGTGCTGCGTTTACCATTGGTTGTGGCGCACATCGCTGGGAGTGCCTTGTAGTTACAGCAATCACACTAAATAACTACACAGCGCTCTCAGCAGTGTGCGCCAGAACCTATGGTAACCACAGCACGGCTGACGGTCTATATTTAATTATTTTTGTCTATGCTAATAGATACACAAAGAAAGTACATAAAGCATAGCACTGATATTTTGTCTTAACGTACTAGTTTATGAAAATTTTCTAATTTTTCACATTGTTATTGTCAGTGTCCATCAAAGTATCATCCAGTGTCGGCCATTTCATTCATATTTGTACAAGAAAGTGATGTTGGATACCAAATAGCAGAATGCAAAAGTGTAAATCATTGTATTATATCAAATATTGTGTGCGTGTAAGATCCGTTTTAAATGCTTTCTATAACATTTTAACCTCGAAACTGTATATGCTATGATGCCCCAATGTAGTTTAGCAATTCAAATCTCACTATTGTTGCAGTTTTCAAGAAGTTTCTCAACAGTGGGACAGAACGTGGAAGAGTCGTTGCGGAGGAGATGTTGCGTCAAGTGACCACAATCCTAGACTGGTGGAGAGTGCAACGGACGTTTCACATGTACTCCAGCTCTGTGTTGTTGACATACGACGCTGAACCAAACCTCACTCCTAGTGTGAGAGTAGTGCTGATAGACTTTGCCCATGTCTTGCCTGCCAACGGTTCTCCAGACCTTAACTATCTGACAGGTCTTGAATCATTTGTACACATTTTTACATCTGTATTAAACGAGTTATGACAAAACTGTGATGTTTATTAACGTACAAAATTTGCACTGGAACAATCGAAAAAGGAGGAGGGAATAGGATACTGATTGACACAGAATAAGAAATTTGTGATGACGATAGGACCCGAAAACAGTCATTAGATCCGGACCATCCATGTTAAATTAATTTAATTAAATTAATAGTAACTATCTGACAGGTCTTGAATCATTTGTACAAATTTTTACATCTGTATTAAACGAGTTATGACAAAACTGTGATGTTTATTAACGTACAACATTTGCACTGGAACAATCGAAAAAGGAGGAGGGAATAGGATACTGATTGACACAGAATAAGAAATTTGTGATGACGATAGGACCCGAAAACAGTCATTAGATTCGGACCATCCATGTTAAATTAATAGTATTTAAGGAAGTGGCCGGATGAAAGTATATTTTTTATTTCCATAACCCCACTCTTATTTAATTTTTTGTAGTTTTGAGTACCAGGGCGAAGCCAGGATGGAACCCATTGCAGACACTGCAAGGAGCCTGAAACCCTTCCGCATGTCCTTGGCTCTTGTCCCTTTGGTGCCTTACTGCGTAATGCAAGACACCATTCTGTAAGAGCAATGATCGCAGAATAACTACGAAAAAAGGCTGGCAAGTAGTAGAAGAAGTACATTGCATTGGAGATGGTGGATCAAACAGATGATTGGACATTTTAATATATGATACAAAATCTAAAAGTGGAATACAACTATAAGGTTTGAAACATCAACAAATCAAATATAATCCAAATTCTATATCAGTAATTGGCATAATTATTGGTGCAAGGGGGACTATTTCAAAATTGTTTGACGAATTAAAAAAATAATAATCTTCCATCAAAATTAAAAAGTGAAATAGTCATAAAAGTGTTAAAAGGATCATGTAAAATCATTCAAAACCATTTATATGGACAACGTTATTAATTTAAGTTACATCTATATATATAATACGCTAAGCCAATTTTTGTAAACAGAACTCCTCCCTCATTTTTGGACCGATTTTGATGATTAAAGTGTCAAATGAATGGCCCTGATCTGTAGTTTTGCAAAGTCTTTTTTGTTTTTTGAAATCTTTATTAGTTTGGGCAGGATCTTCCATCAAAGTTGGATTTTCTCCCTTAAGATTAACATGGGGAATCTAAATATTTAATTGGAATCTTTGTCTCCATTAATTTGAGAGAACGACTGGGCGTAGAAACTTGGTAGTGGTGTCCAAAGAAAGGTCTTGGTCTCTAGATGAGTTACGAAAAGAAAAACTAAGTGAATCCCGTTAGGGCTCTGCCCCAGAAGCCCTTAAAGATCCCTCAACAGATTTGTTTACATTTTGTCCATGTGGATAATACTTTTTAATGAAACAGCTGTTAATTTTTGAATTGTGTTTTAAACAACACACATTTATTGGGAGTTACTGAATTGTCCAAAAGAAGTATTTGCAATGTTATTTTCTGATTTTAAAATTGATTTTCTTCTGTATCATGTCATATTTTGCAATATAACGTTCCATTACGAAATCAGTGGAAAATCCTTTTATCACAGTAACTCTTATTAAACAAAAATTATTTCTTACTGAACTATCTTATATCTATTGTACGGGTTTGTGTCTGCCTTTTTCACAACTTTTGGCTATATTTTATCATATTATTCTAGACTGATCATCAGAGGTTCGTGAGATTATTGTCATACATGTTTTCAATCATTGGAAAAATCTTCGATTGTGTAATACAATACAAAAATAATGCAAGTGCAGAAGTGTCTTTTAGCTTTAACATTAACCCCACACAACTGATTTCTCAAAACTATACTAGAGGGTAATTCATTGGCACAGAATTACGATATGAACTGATGCGACGTGACGAAGGAAAAATCAAACTTACACTGTGACGGATGGACCTCCCTTTCAAGTTAGAACGTGTCTCCTCAACAAGCAGATATTTTCTCTCAAATAAAATCATAGATTAATCTTTATTACACTGATGAAATCTGGGAAGTTTTTAACTAATAAAAAAGATCCACCAATACGGTTTTAATTCTATTTAAAGGTTCTTCCAAAGTATGGGAAATATCTTATTCGTTGAATGATCAACCATATTTGGTAACTAACGCAATAAATATCATTATTGTTTTTACACTTATTACTCTTTAAACAATGCTAAATGCTCTAAATTTGTATAATTTCACTCAATTTATCGCAGTTAGATGAATTAGCGTAAGCCTTGAAAGTATCCGTCGATTTCAACGGGTTTCACCTAGTATTATTTATATCATAAATTTAAGTTTTTTGTTACTGTGTCTAATAGGCAAAGTTTATAATAATAAACTCAGTTTTAAAAATAAATAATAATATCCAGAATCCAAATTTTTGGACATCACTAGTGTTAAAATAACATCCAAAAGTAGAGTGAGGAAATATTAATAGGAAGGATGCTGGGGGCCTCTTGTTATTGTTAGCAACAAATCAACCAAAATTTCAGAATTAATTTGAGACATTTTTTAAAAACTTATCACTGGTGAGCCTCAATTTTTACTATAATTGTCATTTTACGCCAATAAATCAAAATTTTGATATATTATTAATATACCGCAAGCCGGTACTAATATATATAGAAAGTCAGAACGACTTCCCAAGTTGGGCAAATACTCCAAAGATAAAAATACACAATTTAAAACAATATAGACATTTTATTGTGTACACCCTACATTACATGCTAAATATGTAAGAGTCAAACAAATAGTTACCTAACAAATAATGAGTAGTCTAAAAATAGCTTCAAAAATATTTATTAGAATTTTAAGAATTCATTGTAAGTTGGTTGAAGTGGTAAAAAGTTATATTTTGGGTAGTTTAGGTGCAACAACCAACGGGTTGGCTTGTTCTAACACCTTTCTGCTTTCTTTCTTGAAGTCATAAGTGCAGTGGTGTGTTTCTGAATACCTGGAATGCAATAAAAATTGAGTTAAATAATGTAGATTTTAAAAAAACTAAATAAATTCTAAAACATCATAATATGTTATCTTGGTATAATAAATAAAGTTAAACGATCACATGTATATCAGAAGCGCCTACTTTTCAATCCCACTGGAATTCAGCAACAAAATCTTTTAGCAGTCGTGTAGACATCATTGCCATCTCCCACAGTCACAAAAAATCATCATTGTCTCCTATGGTCACAAAAACGTCACCATCATCCTCCACAATTGCGACATTTTTCAAAAGCAAAATCTTTACAAAAGCTTAAAAAATTCCCTAAATTCTGGTAAAAATCCAACTATCCGAATCAAATTTTTTAATATGCGAATGTAGTGCGGTCTAAATTAATTCGGATAGTTACAGTTGTACAGTAGCAAAGTCAAATACTGTATGGTCATCCTTTTACAAAACAAACATTTTGTTATCATGATAAAAAAAATTAAACATAGGAACTTACCTATGAAAAGAGCAGAATGTGAAGCCACATCTACACTCAAACATGTTGGCAAGGGTAAGCCTCTTCTTGCATTCAGCGCATCTGATCCGGCTTTTCTTATCAAAATCCACTTTTCCTCTCAAGGATTGGTCAATGGAAATCCTCGTAGCAGTCCCAACTGGCAACTCACTTGCTAATGGTTCTGTTACAGCCTTCACAGGAGGGGGTGAAACATTCGGTATCTTTGGCAGGAGTTCAAAACTTCTCGAAGATAAAAATTCTGAATCGAGAGTAAAACTATCCTGAACAAAAGAACTTGATGGAGATTCTTCTGCACCATTGATATTTCTTCTTAAAATAGATGACCCTTCACTTTTCCTAAAGCAATATTGTGTTTTCTTTGTCAACTTTGTACTGGTCAGGTTTTTGTGGTGGACATTCAAGTTTTCTATGTAAGGAACTGTTGTTGTTTGTGACCTTCTTGGTTCGATGTTGGATACTTTCCTGTTATTGTTTAAAATTTCAGAAACACCAGTCATAGGTGGAAGGATGTTCAATCCTGATATCTCTGAATAGTTGACGCCCCACTCGTGGCGGAGTTTAGATGCACAGGCACTGATACACCTGAAATCAACAGTTGGTTTAAAACATCTTTCATTTAAAGAGGAAAGTATTTTTTCCCTTTGCTAATACATAGCTCCCTCTAGTTCGGCTTCGGTTGGATCGGCCGCCGGATGGTCCGGCCTGGTCTCAGGGGGACAAGTCATATCGTCACGGGGGAAAGACCTTCGACAGGATTCAACTTGAATGTTTAGTTCCCGGTCATAGAAGTAAACAATTCATGTCAGTTTGGTTGACGGGTGCTTCTATGGGTGATTGTTGCATATTACCTATGTAAAACTATGTTACATAACCTCAAAAATACCAAGAACATTTTATAGTCTAATATGTTTAAATGCAGTGTATAATTAAATATTTCGGACCATTTATTTATGTGGCAAGTTCCCCCATTATTGTTTTTGAAACACCGCGGTTTATTTGACAAAAATAAATTAAAGCAAAACAAAGAAATAGCCATCATTAGCTTCAAGGTCAAGCTATCTGCTTGCTCTGACAATTATCTGTTCTATACACAACTGTCTGCTGTGCGCTTGCTATCTCACAACAGTTTGTGATTGGGTGATTAGTAACCATGGCAATGGCAACACTTGCTGAATGTGAATGCTGGATGAAGAGAAACCAAAAGAATGAATAGAAGAACAAAGAAGAAAGAATAAGTGGTGTTTTACATCATCCATTGTTATCTTTTTCCTATTTTACGACTGTCGTTATTATCTTTAAGACTAAGTACTATGATTTTATGCTGTTTTATGAGTTATCTAATGCTTTTATTGACATTCTTATGTTCTGAAAACAACATGTAGTAGTAGCCTATGCTGACTATGGTAGCAGTAGCTTGCAGTACTAGACTTTCTATTGTTCTGTTCTTTACGTGATTTATTGCTGTATGTACAGTGTTGTGTAGTTTTTGTTTTTCTTAAGTAAGCATGATATTAAACTTTACAGTTTTTATTACTGAACCAAGGTTAATGACTTAACATATCACGATTGCGCAATACTATTATTTGTATTTTGATTATGTAAAATGCAAATTAATTATCACATTAACATCCAATTTATACAGTATTATGTGTTTTATGGCTACGTAATATATGTTTATGCCATGTTGGATTAACCGTGGTTTTCAGTTATCCGTGGTCTCCCCCCCATTACCCCGGTAATTGAGGTTCTACTACCGGTTAGTCCAGCTGTTTTGTAGCCCAGCCAGCGGTCCGGTCCCGTGGTAGCCGAACTAAAGGGAGTCTACTGTACTAAATACAGCAGAGCATAAACTATCTAGATCCCAGTCATCCAAGACATTGATTAACTGAAATGCATAAAGTTCAACAATTAACCGCTGCTAACAGCTGTTCCTCAATTGCGAGAGATGATTACTAGTGTCGTCGAGACCGCAAGATATGATCACGAATGTTGCTAAAATCACAGAAGACAAATCAAAATCAGAAAAAACTACATGTAGGCCTAACATGTAAAAATTGAAATGTTATAAATCAAAAGTATAATATTGCATCTCGTTTATCAAGTCAATGACTTGTTATCCGAAAAGAATCAGTTTTCCAAACACCCTCCATCCCGAATTGTTTTGGATTATCAATTATCAACCGTGGAATCATTTAATTTAATGTAAGTGAAATTATAATCACGCAGTACTTAATAAACTGTTACGACAGCAAAAAATTACTACTTTTTCAACGTATTTATATTTTTGCATTACAGTTACAGCATTGCTGAAGAATAGTTAATACAAAAATAATCCTACTAGAACTCACCTAAAGTGAGGCTGAGCAATCTGAACATTATCTTGGCATCCGTCTTCTCCAAAAACATCATAAAACTGACTCTCGGTGACAGCGCTGGGGCAAGAGTTTGGCCTCAACGAGTCACAAATCTGACTGGAAGCTGTGGCACTGTCAATAGCGACAACTTCCTCCAGCTCTGCAGGACTGTTCTGAGGTATTATATCTGGCAAAATAGGAACTTGAGAAAATTCACTCCTGGACTTCAGTATCTCGCCTTGGACTTGGTGGCTAATAGAAGGCAGTCTTAATGAGCTTCCAGGATTTGATGGCCTCTCTTCAATACTCAATTTTGAGCTGGCTTCTTCACATTTTGATTCAGACTGAAATGGAATGACAAATATTAAACGGTTGAAAATTCAAATGATTTATCCTCGCTCATAAACAATCTATGTTTATGTAAGCTACAGTAAAAACTGCCAATTTGTTGTAAAAGCTACTACTTTGTACTTATTTTCACACTTAAGTTAATCTTATCCCACTGACAAGCACTAGTTACATTGCGGTTAGAATAGCCCACTAAATTAGCTAATGATTATTGCTATTGAATTTTTTAGTCCTGCATTAGGAATTGGAAACATTATGGATTACATCAAAATAATATGTTATCTATTGACAACTGTGTTATATCCCAAGATTACAAATAATTTGGAGCATTAGGTAGAAGTAGGCCTACACCAAAACAGCTATTATTAAATCCTAATGGCGATTTTCTATTGTCCTAACAACTGGCTCTACCCAGTAACAGAAAGCCTCAGGATATCATTTGAGGGAAACATTTTTATATTTTAAATGTTAATTGATTGACTTTAATCATACATGCGACATGTGACAATCTAGTTTACAATGAATGAATATTGCATGAAATCCAATAAAAATTTAGAAGCTTGCATACTATTTATCTCTGTGTCTTTTATGAACATGTTAGATTGTACTGTACAGGATACATTTTGGGTAATTAGCCTACATTTAAAGTAACATTGTATAGAGTAACCTCTTTTGGCTAAAATCAATGAAACATGAATCTCAACTGTCAAAAATTGATTGACAAAAGCTCTACCCTACATTAGTTTTTTTTTTATTTGGTCAACAACCCTCTAACACACTCGTAATGAAAAGCTGGATAGGCCAATAATAAATTATTTTATAGAATAAGGATCAAGAAATAATACAAAAGTAAATGGCACATTAATTAATTGTGGAAATATTGGTATAAAATATTCTTTGAGATCAACCACAATGGAATAAACAAAAAAATATTGAAACGAGAATTTATAGTGGAAAAATCAATTTTTAAGAATATAAATAAAATAATTATCGTATTCTAACTGTTACAGAACATTTTTTATAGTCTACAAAGAAAATTGGTTTATTTCTATAATCATTAGACAATAATGTAAAATAACATAAATTATAAATGTTAACGATGTTTTTCAACAAAGAAAATTGTAAAGAGAAAATTATATTATTTTAAGTCATTAAACATTAAATTGCCAAGCAGATAATCAGAAAATAAATTTTATTAATTTTTAACACGGCAAAAATCACAAAAACTAGAAATGTAAACAAACTAATTCAATGACTAGTGAAAACTGAAATCAACAAGAAATAAAATCTGACTACAAAGTAATGCTGAAAGGAATTAATTGTTGCAGAAGAAGCTCAAAGAACATTATAATCTATTAACTAAAAAAAATCTGTTCTAGCCTATTCTAAGTAAATTCATTAATTTTAGCTTTCTTCATACCTTATTCTGAGTTGTCAGATTTTTAGTTAAAACATTAACATCCTCCAAAAAATCAGGACAACCTCGAATAATGTGACACATGTCCGTATGAAAAATCACATACGGATTTCCTACTTTAATGAATATGGTGAAAAATCTTTTCGTGCATTGAAATAAGTTTATTGTTCTTGAAACAAACCATACAATAGTTATTTGTGTAACTAGTGGGCAAAGTGGCACTTTGGTGCACACAAGAGCAATGTTAGGAATGATCTCAAGTGCGGCAAAGGCCTTTTGCACTCGTGTTACACATTATATTTTTCCTACAGTCACTATAAAGCATATAAATAATTAGTCTTTCAAACACTATACAACACGTTTTTAGGTTCAGCTGGCAACACAAATAGGTGCCCTAGAGAAAGTAGTACCCGGTCCGTATCACTCCGCTATTTTTCCTCGGCAAGAAATGTGCTCCGCGTTTAGAGAATATAGTTCCGTATGTTTTTGTAATTTGAAGTGGTTTCCGCGCCTAAAAAAAATGCTTTAAAGGTATTTTCTTGTTTATTAAGATCGTAGGAATGTTTTAAAAACCTTTAAAAGAAAAGTCCAGAAAGTTCAGAAATAACGAAACTATAAACACGAAATGACAGGTTAAATCGTAGTTATAATAGTCAATCAGCTGCTCATAGTATTATTATCTCTAAGTGTTGCCAACCTATTTCCAAGCGTACACAGATTACGTGCATAATAGAACCACGCTGTTTTGTGTTGTTTCGTTGGAATCCTGATGTGCGGCAAAGTATAAACCGTTTGACAAAGTATAAATCATACGGCAAAGTATAAATATGCAGCAATTAGCAGCTTTCTGTACTATAAACAGTACAAGGAAGCGAACTTTGTCGGGTGACTGTAGGAAAAATATATTTCTGATTTGAGAACCAGACTGTAGCTACAAAACCATTAATCAAAGCCTCAGAATAGGTAAAAGACTGTGAAAAGGTTAACAATATTTAATTTTCAACTAATGTTTCACTTTCGAGGAAATTTTATTTGCATGTAAACTACAAAATAACTACGGTGATTGAAATAAAGTTGGCATACCTTCTTATTTTTACGTTGTAAAGAAAGTTTTTCCATTCTTTCTTTTAAATCACAGACCTTTTCCATTGTAACAGAATTTTCTTCCAGGTTTTTTGAGAGATCACCTTCCAGCAAACTAACAAAATAAGGTTCCGGATTACCAATAACTACTGTCTAATCACATGTTCTACTTCATTATACTTTTGAGATGGCGTTTGCAACAGTTACAGGTAAAATTACTTTATCCTCACACAAATAAACTAAACTAACTAATCCTCACTGGAAATATTTTTCTTTCAGTAATTTTTTACGAGTTGGATGGATTTTAAAGGAGGATTTCATTTTATATATTTTAGATATAGTTGAGCAATAATATTAAAGATTAGGTCTAAATTTTGATCAATGGTTATTTTAATTAGAAAACTTCGGCTACAGAATTCATAGTTTTATCTCCGGTTTTTGTCTATTTGTAATGCCAAAATGACTTAAAATTCATCAAACTGTGCTAATGCTTAGGAGAATATCAGGATAACTTCTGTAGGATAGTACTGATTGATGTAAACAAGAACTAAGTGAAGTAAAGCCAGTTTCCAAATGAATATCCCAGGCAAGCATTAGTCTCCATGACTCCAATAGCACTACTCAGTTGATCTAGTAGGTTTGTTTATCATCTAAACATTTGGTTAACAATGGACAAGAAAAGAAAGTTAATAAGATAATTAGGGACTATTTAAAGACATAACAATCTTTAAGTCCAATATAGGCCTATGGTGAATAATTCTTAACTTTATCTTGATTTAAAGTAGGTAACCATAATAATATAAGTTACTGAAAGTTTAGACCTATCTGATTTCATAATATTATCTTAAAGTTGATTACTTAAAACCTTTTTACCCTACTGATACATACCTTTTACTGGTTCAACAAACCATGGGTATCCAAGAGACTTACTTTTGACAACGCTATTTATTGATTACAGATAATTCAGGTACCGGTATAAATTATCATTTTTTACAATAGGTTGGTTTATCCGGCCAGGGGCTCGGTTCTGTGGTGGCCGGCAATGAGAAGTTCAACTGTATAAAAAACTGTAACTGTAACTGTAACTTTAAAAAATCTTATACAAAGTTAAATTATACTTTTGACTGAAGTGTAACTTACTCGATGGACGTATCCCTAGAGAAGCTTGCAGAGTCTGAGTCTTCGTCATCCTCTACCACGTGTAACAGGTTCAACTGATCACCCACTCGTAACACCAAGATGGCCATCCTACAACCTGGCGGGAGGTCTTCCAAGGCGTCCTCTCTGAAATATCATTATCAAACTAGTGATTTCAAAAGTTAACCTACCATGAACAAAGCTGAATGCTGTTTAATGAACTTGATACAACTCCTAAGGGTACAAACATAGGGATCGGCAAGGCTAAAGTGTAGCTGGCGCCGAAACGTACCCTCTCCGCTAGGATATTCCTGTCCTTATTTGTTAACCTCAAGTGTTCGGTCGAGGGTCGAGCCTAAGTTGGTAAGACCGACAACATACGTGGTTGAAAATGTAGTTTTACTTAAGAAAGTGATTCTTTATTGTCTTTTAAACATTTTACAATGCAATAGGGTTTGTCATGTTGAAAATGTTAACATAGCATTAAAATATAATTAAATATTTTAAAGAAATAGATAGTGGTAACGAAGATGATTCAGTCAGCCTTGATAATTATTTAAAATAGGCTGGCCTAAAAGTCTGCTTGCTTAGCTTAAAATCGGTGACTATTCAGTCAGTTTATGAACACTGTCCCAAGTTATTTGGGACCAGGATTTAGTTCTATTTACAATTAAAAGGTAAGTTATAATTCATTGTCAAAAAGGTACAGTCTCCCATTACTTACATCTTTTAAATATGCAATAAAAAGAAATAATTAGAAGTTAATAATTAGAAGTTATGCCATTTAAACAATAAGCAGTTATAGTGAATGACTACTTTGCTGTAGGATATTTTAGTTTTGTTCACCATTAAATGGTTAGAATAAATGTATACCTATTCAAAAATATTGCAGTAATCCAGCCTCTTGCCTCACTACCGTCACCGCTCTACTACGTGCATGTGAAGCTTCACAACTATTGGTGGTTAAAACTCTCATCTCATCCATTAATCTCTTTAGTCTTTGCTACACTCTTGCCTTGCTGCTCCACTATGAATTTACTCTTTATAACTCCAAGGCAGAAATTAAAAAATCATTCTAACATCAATGTGCGTCAACCCTACAATGCAGAAAAACAGTAAACTAAAAGAGTAGAAAGTGAATCTAATTTTGCTGCTCTAGAATATTGAGAATGTCCTTATGACTTAGGTATGTGTTAAATAGATGTCAAAAAACAACGATACAAGCTCTTAAAATACATTGTGAGATACATTGTGTTAGTAGACCGATTTTAATAAAAAGAATTAAAACTAGGCCTATTCCAAATTAACTATAGACTGGTACCTACCGGCTAAACTTCACTAGGCTCCGAAGAATGGTCCGGTTCAGTGGCATAGGCTGATGTACAAGACTGATTGGTCCGCCGCGCATGGACAGCACCAACTTTACAGTAGACCCTTCGCACAGTCCTACGCTTGGCTCTGTGATACATGCTGTGTCTTCCAACTCTCGGGAATTATACAACAGATGCTGGTGGGAAACTGGAATACCTATGTTACCACATGAAATATTGTAATACCCCCGCCGCAGCAAACCTGCAGACTAAGCGAATTTCCATTTGCCTGATTGGATTTACACTAAAATGTCTCCTTAAAAATATCACATTTATTCCCTATTTAAATCAAATCAGTTTAACACATACTTAGGTTTGCTGCAACAGGGAGGGTTAAAGTGTTTTTTTATGTAAAATGTTAATAGTTAGTAAGAAATAAAAATTTTCCAAATTTGGGCAAAATATGTTAATAAATAAGCAAACTACAACAGTTTACTTATCCTCCATAAGAATAACATAGGAATTTTAAATTTACAATTTTTTTGAATTTTCTCCGTAACCATTAGGCGCATTATAATGCTTCAATAGTATAGGACTAAATTATTTGTTTTTTTAAGCTCTACAAAATATTTTGGAAATAAATTGCAAAAATTTAAGTTTTCTGGGTCAAAAATGGGAAAAACCCATTTTTACCCCATAAACCCCCGTTCCCATGGTCCGATCATGCTGGTTCGCGAACTCGTTCGAATAAACGTAGGTTTACATGTTTGTACCAAATTTCATCAAAATCGGATCATTTTTGCTTGAGTTATCGCGATAACGGACACATATATAAATATACGGTATATAAATATATAAACATATAAATATATAAATATATATATGAATTTGAACGGATGCTATTTTTGGGCTCTAGGGACCTCAAAACGAAAAAAAATCGATCCCGGGTCCAGGTCTTACCATGAGTACTACGGTAATAGCTTATTCCCTATATGGGAAATTCGCTAAAAAATGTAAACTTATTTAACTTTTTTTGCATTAAATATAGGTAACAAAGTAGACCTAATTGTTTTGCCTATACAGACTACAAGACAATCTTTTTTACGTAATTTATCAAATAACTGGACGCTAGAATTTAAGAGAAAAAAAGAGAAAATTATAAATAATAAACTCTTGATCTCAATTTGTTAAACTTGCTACCATGATCGAGCCTACAATCAATTTAGATGGGAAGCAAAGGCTTTGATTCATCACTACTTACTGCTCCAACAACAATTTAAATACCTCATAAAAGCGGTTTAGTAATTTAATACACAAAGTGAAATTTTAGACATTATTTTAGGCTAACTTACATCGGATCATAAGTTTTAGTAATCTTAACTTATATCCATTTTAGATAGTTAATGGCATAATCTATTGGTAAAATAGTAACCTAGTTAACCTTTAGCCTTTGTGTAGGCAACACACAAAACCATAGCCTAAGTTATCATAATTATTAAAAGTGGAATCAATTTAAGTAAATTAAGTTAGGCTATTGTACTAGCCTTAGTTAATATAGAAAACTTTACCTTCAACTCTTTGAATCTTTGTTTTGATAGATTTTACAGTATCTTGTGGAGAAACTTTCACCTCAAATGTTGTCCCAGTTAAAGTTTCAATGATTATTGTAAACATATCTTCATTTCCACTGCTAGCAGCATTCTTATGCGACATTCTGAAAAAAAGAATGATTGTAAGAATGAGTTTACAATGGCTAAAGTAGGGATTAGAGCCAATATTTTAGGCTACTGAAAGCAAAGAGGTCAAGTTTTTTTTTTTTAAGGTTTCAGGTTTTGCATCCCTTGTTGCTTTGTAAAAACGCTTAAAAAAGACACTAAGCCTAGCTTTAAACAATAGTTTAAAAGAAATTCAGTCATTTTGGAAATCAACTTTGTTCAACTTATTCAGGAGTCTAAGTTAACTTACTTTGGTACCGGGAGGCCTAAGTTAGGCCACAGAAAACGTACTACTATAACCCAGAATGCCAACCACATGGTAAAAAGCATTAAGCGGTTTCAGAGAGCTTTGCCTGTCAATCCGTAGGCAGCGCCATGCAATAGCATAGCAACGCTGGTGGCGCTGCCTACGGATTGACAGGCAAAGCTCTCTCAAACCGCTTAATGCTTTTTACCATGCGGTTGGCATTCTGGGTTATAGTAGTACGTTTTCTGTGGTTAGGCCTAGAAAGACATTAGTTCAATAACCTGATGTAACCCTACCTTACAAAGCTTTCAATAAGACAATCAGGCCAATTATAATAAGACAACACTGCAAAACCCCCGTTAGGCTACCAGGGCTACCTCTTTTATAACTTCATCTTTTAAGTTGAACCCAAGAGGGATTGATGGCGTCAAAATTTACACAAATTATTATAGGCCACATTTAAAACATAGCCTATCTTTTTTTAACTTCGGTACCTATTTAAATAGGCGGATCAGTCAAAAATGTTTAGGCCTAGAGAGTAGCTTAACAGGTTGAGGTTGAGGTGCTATCCGGTCACCAAGGAGTGGCCGCGAACACGTGCCCAGGTCGGCCAGGTAAACTGTTTCCAGCCAGGTCCCGCTAAAATCAATCACTCAGTGTGGTGCAACCTTGTGGAAAGGACCGGAGTTATTGCAAGTGCGTTTCTAGCGCTACATAACCTAGATACTGTGTGTGTTTCGCCCACCGTTACCGCAGACCGTTGCTGGTCTCCCAAGACCTTTAATTTCCCACTAGCACAATATTGACTTCGGACATTTATTGACATATTTCTTTTGTGCTTTTGCTTTTTATACGACACAACAATATATTTTATAGTTTATAAGGCCTAGGCCTACTTTAGTTTAAGATACGGTATTTGCCTTTTAATAAAGATAGACTCCTCTGGTAAATATTAGTTAAGTTAGCCTATAGAGATATTAAACATTTTTAGTCTGAAAAATAGTGTTTGTGAGACCAAAAATTAAAATTAAATTTTAATTAATTAATTTAAAATAATTAAACCAATTGTAACAATTGTGATAACTCCTACATTGGACAGACTCTGAACTTTGTCACGCTTCATAAACCACATATCTGCATGGGGGAACAACAAACCGGAAAGATCAAATGTCGCACAACACCTATTACAAAATGGATACTCAATAGGAAAAATGGAGAATAATCTCTATGTATTTTGAAGAATTGTAAGAAAGGATTATACACTACCTAATGAATGCTTGGGAAGAATGGTATATTTACAAGGAAAAATGTAAAAATATAAATAAGCTGATTAATGAACAAGTAAATTTTGACTCCAATTGTAAGTACCTATAAAAATGTAGTTATTGGCCGGTGCTTCCGGTAGCCAATAGTATAAGCAGGGATGCCATTAAAGATTCTTGTATAGTTCTTGTATAGTGTGCTCAGTCCTCACTCCAATTGAAATAGTGGGTGAACCCACTATTTAATTGTGCAAAAACAGTCTGGAAGTTGCATAAATTAATGAGTCGGTTCATTATAACCTAACCTTTACCTTACCTAATCTAACCTCACTTCAAAGGACTTAATATAGTCACGAATCCGCATAAAGTCCAACCTATCTTCCTCACATGCCTTTTCTGACATAAACTGTGATTTAAACATTAATATTAAGGTTGGGTTGGGTTGGTTTAGGTTAGATTAGATTAGATTATGTAACATCATTTATTAGTTGCGGATACATTAGATTATGCACTGTGGCACGTTTTCACTTTTAGACACAATAGGATTATGTACTATGGGATTATGCACTATGGCACGTTCATTAACAGACGTTGAGGCATTAGCCAATGGTTGAGGATTGGAATGAGGACGATGATCATGTCGGCAGTGGCCTAGCTTCTATTACTACGTGAATAAATTCTATTTTGTTTTATATTTTAAGTTCATGTGATTAATAGTTTATGTATTGTAAGTAGTTGATTTATTGTATTTTTTAAACAGCACCAAAGTCTATTTTCTTTGAAAAATCTAGTTATTGCATATTGTAACTCTGATTTTGCGTTGTGTGTGGTTTTGTCTGTTTAGTATTGAATGTATATAGAATGTAAACAACTGACAGCTGTTTCCACTCCACAAACCTTCCACCCCTTTTAGTGTTAGTCGCCACTAGAACTTGGACTCGTCCATACCACAAATAGGCTATGTTAATAAATCTACAAAACTGAAGCTTAATATTAATTATTTCACTGTACGGCAACTTAACTTAGGAATCTCTCCGACCAAAACTGATTGCATTTTTGGATTCAGCGTTAAAAATACTGTAAGTAGACATAGGCTATCAAAATTACATCATATCCCAATGTTAATACGGTAAATAATTAGGCCTACCAAAAATACATTGTCTAAATCATTATTAAGTTAAGTTATTTCCGAACAAAATGAACATACACATTAAATTAACTTAACTTAAGTTAATTAAGGTTAGCTAAACTTAAGTTTAGGTTGACTTTTACAGTTGAATTTTTACAAATTTTCTAAAAAAAAGTCTGCAAAATCGCCAAAATGGGTTTGCCATTCCCCACTTCTAACCTTGGCCACTGCTAGGGTTAAATAACTTAAACTTAAGTCTTACAGCACGTTTCTGGATCACCATCTTCAAAATCTGCGGCATGATCACACAGTACTCAGAGGCCATCATAACTTAATAGGCTAGACGTTCTGCGTGTATTGTTCAATAATGGGTAATTATTTATCAAAACTACAGGTGTAACTTACACAAGTTAGCTTGAGCTAATAGTAGGCTAAGTTGAGTGACAGTAAAAATTTACAACCCACGCGTCACCCTAAGCACACTTCAATGAACAAAATAACCACGGGCCAACAATCAATCCCTGAGGAACACTGTGACTGACACTCTTGGGCCTGGGTTACTAACTTATGTTTAATAACTTAGCCCTAGCCTATTCAGGTTAAGCTTAATAATTAGCTTAATTGTTGAATGTTTTGGATAAATCATATATGCTTGACCCTAGACATAACAGATCTAGGCTACAATCTAGATATATACTTAGTAAATCTTCATTTAATAATATCTAATGATATCCACCCAACTAAAAAATGAACCTTTATTTCGACCAGGGGCCTTGCCTAATATAAGGAACTTCTTGGGAGTGGTCTTAATGTTAACAGACTGATTTTTCTCGGATAACATGGGCTGATATTATTAATAATTATTCAAGCTATTTTGATGTTTACTTTTTAAAAACTATGAAACTGTTCACTTACCTTCAAGATGTGTACTTTATGACACACAATAGAACGACATCAACATTTCGAGTTCCTTGGTTCTCTCGTTCTCTCTTCTACTTACTAGTTACTACTACTACTATTAGAATTAGAAGAATCAGACAGAATCAGACTCGAAGGAAAGCTGTTGGCTGTTGCTGTTAGTTGTCTTGTCACTGTCAGTTCCATTCCAGTTGTCGTTGTCAGTGTTACGAGTAGTGTTGGTTGTTGGTTGAGTTTGACAGTGTTGTCAGTTGCAGTGTTGCCAGTTGCCAGATAGGCCAGAATAAGTTGGATAGCGCTGGGTTCACAACGATATGGTAGGCATTCGGTATCGAGCTTGTTTTCTACCGGATGACAGACATCGACTTTTTAGTATCGGCTCTGGCTCACCGGCTGTCTCATGGTGGAAGGGGTCGCTGTCAATGCGCCACCACGTCAAACCGCCACCTCGGTGTTTTGGTCAGAGGCGTCAACCCGCCACCACAAAAAAACCAAGGTGGTGGGTTGACGTGTACGTACCTAGGAGGATTAAACATTAAGGAGAGGACACGCTGTAGTTTCGTTGAAGCCAGCGTACTGGGGAGGGGGGAGGCAGCGCTACTCTCCCGCCCCCTCTCATACTGCGTTGTATGCGTTACTGGAAGATTTGGTAACAGAAATATCAATTAACTATTTAAAAATTAGACTTCATCATCCTACGAAAATTAAAAAGTTAAATTCTAACCGTAATATTAGGAACCTATTAAGAGGAAAGTCATATTTATGAACCAATAGTACGTTCAAAGGTGAGTAATTAATTTACACAAGGATGACTTATTTTTTTGGAATTCGTTGTCCTTGTTTTTATTTTTTGCCATACTTGTATTGTGTATTATTTATAATACTCTAACCAGAGCGCGGGACTCCGGTTCATGGGGTCCCGGGTTCAAATCCCGCCATATCACCAATGGATTTTACTGTTCATAAATTAAAACTCAAATCATGAGTAGTACTGTAATCTTATGTGTATTTGAACATTTTCTTAAAGAGAAATAAAATAAGTTTTAATCCTTTAAAAGAATGATAACGCACTTTGGCGGTCAGAAGACGCGATGATTGTTGAACATTCACACTTTTTACTCGAAGTTTCTTTAGGTAAACAGATCAAATATAGTTCAATATGATATTTAAAAAAATCAAGAATTTGATTGCCAAGAAATTGTTTTACTTTTTATGATTGTAATTTAATTGTAACGGCTGTTGGTGTAAAAAAGTTAGAGCGGCTTTGCATTTTTTCTTAACTTTGGCTATTTAAAATCACCTGCCTAGCACATAAATGACTTAAAACTAGTAAAAAATTGTATTAACAAATCGAGAAAACTATGAAAAATGCAAATTTAAAATGTATTTCATCACCCGAATTAAAATTTTCATTTTAACCTATTATTAGTAAGATTGTTTTATAAACTGGAAAAATAAAAATAAAACTTTATTGTAATTATTTTTCTAAATACCACTCTTAATTATAGGTAAATATATATTTTTTATTTCGAGAAACTCTTAAGGAACACGAATAAATTGTTAATTTGTGTAGATACATCATATTTTTTTCAAAAACGTAATTAAAGTAATCATATGTTCAAAGTCCAGGTCAATTCTTTCAACTTTGATCTTCAATAATAAATAATAAATAATATTTTTTATAGGAATGATTGACACTGTTCGATAGGAAATTTAATTTAGTTTAAGAATGCCATCGGTGAATAACACAGGTGTTTTAGTTTAGCGGCAATTTTAATTCGAAACAGCGCGCGTCGCGTTTTTCCCTATCTCTCCCATGTTATAGCCGAGGCTTTTTGCCACTCTACGGCTCCGCGTGCCCCTCTAGTGTTCTGCTAAAGCTGGCTTCACCGCAACACGTGTATTCCTATTCTCGTGCCCTCTCCTTAATGTTTAATCCTCCTAGGTACGTACAGGTCAACCCGCCACCTCGACAACAGGCCACCACGACAACCCACCACCACACAATTTTCCGAGGTGGCGGGTTGTCGTACACACTCAAGTCAATGAGCCACCACGACAACATGCCACCACGACAACCCGCCAACACCAGTTTTTATCAGAGGTGGCGGGTTGTCGTGAAGCTCCATGTTCGATGTCGGCAACCCGCCACCTCGCACGTAGGTGACAACGTGCCACCACGTCAACCCGCCACCACTCTTTTACGAGGTGGCGGGTTGACGTGTACGCTCAGTGTTCGGTGCCGTCAACGCGCCACCTCGCTCATAGGCGACAACGTGCCACCTTGACAACCCGCCACCATGCACTCTTGTCGTAAATCGGTTGGATTTATATTCTGTAGCATTAAATATATTGTACTTTGATTCAGTTAATTTAGAGAAAGTTAATGTACCTAACTCTTAAATATCATTTCTGGAAATTTTAGTTTATTTTCGGAAGAAAGATTGATAGGTAATACAATTATTAACATGGTGAAAACCCGACTTTTGAAAAGGTCTCACGCCCTTAAGGGTAGGAACTTTTAAATTCTAAAACCTTAATGCAAAACTACGAATTGGTCCGAATCCTTAAACACCTTAAACGTTGAAATTTGTCCACAAATAAGGGAGGAGTAGTGTTCACAAAACACAGCTCTCGCGTATTAATATGAGATGATAAAAACGTATATCAAAAACAAAAATAGAATATTTATTTTACTTAATTGCCAGTGAATAAACAATTTTTTTTCATTAGGCGTATAAATATATATATAAGTTTATATGCGCACCTACCACCACGTGCGCACGCAACATACGCGTGAAAAGCATGCATTTTATAAATTTAAACCGGCGATAGTCAGGGATAGTCTTGTGCCATATAATGGTGATTGCGAAAGCAAGACGCAAAGAAAATTGTATTCTTTTGAATTCAAAAGGTAATTTGGGTGAAATTATCGCCATTATCGGTATTCTGTGATTAGACCACGAATACTAGAAGAGACCCGGTATGGATTATAGACATAAACAAATGATGTTTTAAAAAAATATTACAACACCCCATTGCTGTAACAATTATGGTCCAACAGTTATTTCAGCTTTTGTGATTTTGAACTATATATAGGCCTACTATCACCGCTTTCCCATGATATAGGATGTTAACAAGCTTATGGGAGAAAGTATGTTTCAGAATGCTGATACCGTTTATTTTTACATTTATTTTGTAATTTATAATGTTTGATATCAAGTAATCGTCCGTGATATGAAATAAATTGAATCACGTATATTGACGCTTTCAATTGGCTGAAGGCCACTCTGGGGCAGAGCCCTGATGGAATTTCAAATGTGTTTTGTTTTATGGCAAATTTACATGTCACGACCTATCCAACGACACCTTAAACTTGATGATCGGATGCATGGATCGGATGTGTAGCAGTTTCAAAACAATAATCACAACATTCGTGTTGGCCAATTAAATATTTAAACAATTATGATGTTTATGTGTAAATGTATCCTCGACTAAACAATTTTCACTATGTGCAGTATATCGTATATTCATAGGTTAAAATAATATTACTGATTCATTTGAACATTAATTACGCATCAAGCAGTTTCATTATACGATTAGATACAAATTTGACTTAGGATTATAACCTGAAAAAAGTCAAAGCCAAAGTCCTTTATTTTTGTTAACCTGATTTTTGTAAAAAAAGGAGTCTTCGCAAGATAATGACTTTTGGTACCATTTATCTCCGTTTAATAACTGATCAACGCTGTTTGGCGGATTAATATTACATTTGGATGGTAAAAATGTAACTGGCCTAAGCGTTTATTTCAAGCTACGGCCTGATTCATACGTTGAAGTACAGTGCTACTATACTAATATTACAAATGAAAGTTTGTGTGTTTGTTTGGGGTTCAATCACTCAAGAACAATTCATTGGGCACATCGGGATTAGGCTGAAATTTGGCATGATGATAACATTTTCCTGATAAAAATATAGGCTTGTTATTACCTCAAAACTTTTTTCTCCTTCTTGCCTTTTTGAATATCTCTCGTATGTATTAGAACAATAGCACAATATGCCTTATTATTAAAAAATCAGGAACGAACCACGAATTATTACTGGGAAAGGTGAACGAAATGCATGTTGTAAAATGTGACGTGGACACCTGGTGCAAAGTATTTGGCCGATTGTTTAATATAAACAAACCCATAACAGTCAGTACTGGGAACTTTTAAAGGTCTCGTTAATCCCCTCGCACTTTTCTACGAATGGGCTTAATCTGAAATTTCTTAGATTTTTCTTTCTAATCAATTACAGGTATTGGGGTGTCGGGTCACTCAGGTCAGTTCACTTTCCCTTAGTTGCGAGATCGCGATTGTCCTTTAATTTCCAACCCAAATACTGTCACAAAAGAGAACCAAACTAATATTCTGCTGTTGATAAAACTATTCTATTCCTTGTATTAATTTGTTTTATTTAGTCGTCGGATTATACTTTTTGAAAGATTTTTAGACAAAACAATCCAAATCACCGTTTTGAATGAAATTGGACACGTTTCTTTAAAATTGTACTAAAACGTCACTTACCAAATACCATAATGTGACGAGATAATACGTTATCTGAAAACAAATTCGCGACCTGTTTAGAGTAATAATCTTCCTACCAACTTTCAATTATATCTTTACGTTATAATTTATTTACAATCAGTGAATAAACGGCACTAGCTGCTGTGCCCGTGCTTCGCAACGGGAAGATGTACCAATCGTCCATACTGCCTAATCCAAACACTTGTTGAGTAGATTGAATTTTTAAACAAATAGCCATCAAATTTTTACAAAAATGTATGCCCTACATTGTAATTACCCTACTGTTTACATTAAAATATATCAATAACATAATGTTCATATTATGGTTATAGATTTTTTCTTCATTTCAATAATCAATTGCATAAATAAGCCATAGTGGTGTAAATAACATAATGTTTACAATTAACATATGTTCTTCTTCTCATTTTTAATTTCTGACAACAGCTGGAGTTACATAAAATGTCTGTTTCCCATGAATCTTATGGAGAAATACAAATGACACCAAAAACATGCCAACCGGCTTAGTAGTTTTGAAGGAGTAAATGTCAAAGAAATACCCCCGT